CCTGCTTCTCCCTCTCCCACTCCCCCTGCTTGTGTTCCCTCTCTCACTGTGTCTCTCTCTGTCAAATAAATAAATAAAATCTTTAAAAAAAAATAAAGGGGAATTCATTGAAGGAATTCATGTAATGGTTCCTTTCAAAAAAAAAAAAAATCAATCTGCCCCCAAAGGTGAATTCAAATTTCTTCTTTTCTTGCATGTTTAAAATGATTTTGAAAAGGTAGCAAGCAAAACCCAAAAAAGCCTTAGTTAGGGCCTGGGGTTCTCTTTGGGCATCCTGTTCCTCTCCTTAACTTTCTCTCGGGCTAACAACTGATCTTCCTGCGCGAGCTGCTTTGAGACAAGTCTCTATATGGTGCCGTGAGGCTTACCCCTGGAAGCTCTCTGACCCCATCCCCTATTCCGACTGTATTTGCCTTCTCTATCCATTCCTTCCTGTCCTCTTCTGGGCAGAGGTGAAGGAGACCATACTGTGTGTCCAGTTTTAGCTGGGGCACCTCAAGGGGCCAGAACCCCCTTTCCTTGGAAGCAGTCAAGTGGGAGGGAGCTTCCTTTCTCAGTTCCTGGCCTGCAGACGCTCATTATGAGAAAGTATTTAAAACTTGGAAATGAGGCCAAAAAGTGGACGGCATGTCATGTCAGTGTCGAAATGAGCATCATTTGATAGGTCTGCCCAAGGATTACTTAAGGATGTGCAGCAGTGGTTCTCAGTTTGTCATGACTGGTGGGGAGTGTGGGGGTGTTGCTGACAAGTAGCAGGACAAAGTCCACGATGCTGCTAAACATGCCACAAACCACAGAGCAGACTCTCACTGCAAAGAATGACTCCATTCCCTGCCTTCTGTCGATTAAAGGTCTCAGAAATTCTGTGTGAACTTTAGATTTTTGACTGATAGAGATGGCACTGATTTCTGTTTGGTGGAAAAGATAACCCAAAGGTGGCAGTTCATTACTCCATAGGACAGGAACCGGTTTCGTATTATTTTGTATTAACCTCGCCCTCAGATTCTAACAGCCCTTCATTAAATTGCCCATAAATATCAAGTTCCTCAAATGCTCTGGGAGCTGTTATTTCTATTTTCATTGTTAATTAACCAATTGAATGAAATCTTTGACGTGTTTATTTCCATCCTGTAATAGTTAGCTGTTGCTGGGTAACAAATTACCCCACACCGTCGCAGCTGAACCCGATACTAAGTGTATTATTTTTGCATAGTGTCTGTTGGGGCAGGAATTAAAGAACACCTTAGTAGGATTGTGGGGCTTGGGTTCTCTCACGAGGTTGCAGTAAAAGAGCCAGCCAGGGCTCTGCGGCCATCTGAAGGAGGCCATGGCGTGGCTCCTGTGCACCGTTGGCAAGTCCACGCTCTTTGTCGGCAGAGGCCTGCTCAGGTGCCCTCATGACGTGGCCGCTGGCTTCTCCCAGAGCAAGGGCCCCGAGCAAGAATTAGAGGAAGCCACAGTGTTAGAGCTACCTCGGAGGTCGCACACTTCAGTTCTCCAGTGTGCTGTTGGTTCCGTGGGTCAGTCCCATTCCGGAAGGGATGGACAACACAGGCCTGAGAACACCAGAGGGAGGGATCCGTAGGCGCCGTCTTGGAGGCTGGCAGCCGCACTCACCCTCTGTCCCGCAGCGGTTCACGGCCTTCTCATGTGCAAGGTGTGCTCAGCCTCTCCCAAGGCCCCCAAAGCCTCATCCTCATGGAGCGTCAGCTTATCCATACTGACAAGGCTCCTTGAGCCCTCAAATCCACTTCTCTCTGATCCGAAGTTTGTGAACTAGAGACACAAGCCATCCGCCCCGTCCCACACTCAATGACAGACAACAATGGGACAAGCAGGTGACGATGCTGTAGGCCATCCTGTTCGTCCAGGGGGGAAGGTGGGGATGCACCCAAGTCACGGGCTCAGAGCACTTGTGAAAGGCAGGCAGCACCAGCGGACAGCTCCCGGGGCAAATTCCGTGGCTCTCACACCCACTCCACCTGCCTCTGTTTCTCCCTCTGGGTCATCCTTCCTTTTCCTGGGGCATCCTTTTCTCAGCCTGCTTCCCACCTGTATCAGGTCCGGGGTCCAGAGGCATCATTTCAATGTGTGCTCTCTGTGCCTTCCAGCCCATGCTGGCCATGTTTCTCCCACTATGATTCTCTGTAAGACTTTGGGGCTCATTCCACTGGAAGAAAAAAATAACCCTCAGCTGTCATAGACACCCGATGGAAGACAGGGTTTTTCCAGCCACCCTGTCTGTGGGACTTGCTATTTGTTACAGCAGCCCAAGCAGACCAAGACCCAATCACACTTCTGGATTCATCTTTAGACCAGATTTTCCTGACAGCGCCCTGCACTTGTCTTTGGCCCGGGAGCCCTTTCTTAATTTTGACACCATTTGGCATCGGGAGAGGTCGAGAATTTCCCAGACCAGGACGTCGGGCTCCCTTTTGTCCAAGGGCCCTTCCTTTAGCTCCCTCTTCCTCTTGCCTTTTACCAGAAGCAGCAAGAAGGCAGATGGCACCTCCTGCGCTCGGTGTGGACCGTCTCCTTGGCCAGATGACCCCGTGTGTAAGGTACATTTTCTACTTTTCCTGTTCCTTTAGGTGGTGAGGCTGGGAGGCTTCCTGCCACGACTGCATAACTGTTTCTACGAGTTTTCTCTGTCCTTGAAGCCCTTACTGGAGGCCCTCCTCAAAGACAGTCATGCTTCTGTGGTCGGGTTTTCAAGGCCATTCAAGTTTTCACTGACACGTCCCTCAGAGTCCTACACGACCAGGTTCCAAACCACAAGGGAACTTTCCTCGAATGTCCCCCAACTTATCTGGAACTTGCATACCAAGAAATGAGGGGTCCTTCTTAGAAAACCAACTCCCACTTGCTCCCTGCAACCCCCTTTCCCTCCAACCCTCTTCTTTTTATTTTTTCTTCTCTCTCTCTCCTTCTCTCTCTCTCTCCCTCCTTCATGGGGTGGGATGTGATTTGTTGGTCAGATACACTTTATTCTTCTTGTCTTACCCAGGGGTCACAGCTCTGAAATTTTTGGCCAAGCACTGAAGCCACGGCAGGTCCCTATCTGATGTGGGAGAGGCGGGGGTCCCTGGCCAGGGGGAGAGCAGGAGCATTCTCGCCCGTGAACACGTCACAATGTCGTTTAGAGCCCGATCATGCCGCCTACCATTCCAGGTACGATTCCATTTCATTGCTTTATGGCTCGTATGAAGCAGGTTTGCTGATGAGAATACAGAAAGGTCATGTAATTACCTCAAGGGCACACGGCTTGTGGCAGAGCCAAGATTTGAAAACAAGTCTTTGGCACAAGCCCATGACATTTCTATCACATCCGACAGCGTATTATCTAAGGGTCCCCTCAGTGTTTGAAGAATGGGTTTCTCTAAGTCGGCTCCGCCACGTCCCTGGGTTCCGTGGCGGAAACACCAGGTGCTGGGGGGTGGGCTTCAGTTAGACAGGTGGAAAGGCACACGGCTGTCCTCTGCAGGTGCTTACAGGAGAAGATCAGGTCAACGCCAATGACTTAGTAGGCCCACCAGGTTGACTAGGCGTACGCTCGGGGAGGCACATGGGGAACGTGTGACACCCAGAATACAGTGGTTGCTGCCCCACAGTCACCAACCCTCCACTCCATCACGTGGCTCCTTGGAGTTGCGCCTGAGCCACCTTTATGTGTGGCAGCCGGAGGGGGCTGGTGCTGCCCCTCATGGCCCTTGCTTGAAATAGCTTCCTGCTCCCACTGTCCGCAGGAGGGAGCAGCACCTGCTCTCTGGTCCCATAACCGAGATCAGCCTCGGCCAGAGAAGGGCCGGCAGAGTATGATTTGTTCATTCGCACTCTCTGCTCCTGCCACGTGGAAGGAGGCATGACAGCCCACTCGTGGGTGCAAATAAACCTGTGAGGGTGTTGCTAACATTGGAAGAGGCATACATGGGCTTTGGGGTCAACCAGATCACGGTTAGCATTGTGACTTTGGGCAGGTGACTTAACCTCTCTGAGCCTCCGCGTCCTCATCCACCAAGTGGGATGCCAACCTCTTAGATTGTTCTAAGGGTTAAATATCAAGCATTTGGTGCCATGTTGGACAAACTGGAGGCATTAAAAAATATGTTTCCTCATTTAGGAATAAGAAAAGAGGTTTTCATTTGGGAAAAAGGTCTTATGAGTGTGCAAAAAAAAATTAGCTCGTCTCAGCTTAATATAGAAAAAGATATTGCAGGAGCATGAACTTCTATGCCTCCCCACTGAAGAGTAATGAGGGTCCCTCCTGTGTAGGGTCAGGCGGTCTGCAGGTCATGATGCTTGCTGGGTCCATGTTATGGACCCAAAGCTTGTGTCCTCCCACCAAATTCATATGTCGACTTCATTATCCCAAGGTGATGGTATTAAGAGGCGGGGCCTTTGGGAGGTGATTGGGTCATAAGCAGGGAGCCCTCATGATGAGATTTAGTGTCCTTATAAAGAGACCCCAGAGAGACCCCTGGCTCCTTCTGTCCTGTGAGGACAAGCATTCAGGCAGCCGTCTGAGCCAGGAAGCGGGTCCTGACCAGACGGAGAATCTGCCTGTAGCTTGATCTTGGCCTTCCAGCCCCCAGAACTACGAGGAGTGAATGCATATTTGTTAAGCCCCCTGGACTGTGGTATTTTGTTGTAGTAGCCCAAACAGACTAAGACAGTCCACATGGCTAATTGGAACCCAGATAAAATCAGAGGTTTCCTGACATGATATTCCTGTGATTTAGAAGCATAGACTTTATTTATTATTATTATTTTTTTTTGGAAAGGCTACATTTAACTTATCTCTGTGCCTCAGTTTCTTTACCTGGAAGGTGGAGGATTGAACCTGTCTTCAAGCTGGCCCCTCGGAGAATGATGGGCCTTCATTCCTGGGGTGAAATGGCCTTCCAGTGGCCTCTGAGTGTTCTTTCCCTTTGCCCTGAGTCGCTTACGTCTGTGTGACCCAGCGTGTCATAGGCACATAATCAGTGCTCGGGAAATCTGCAGTGACTCCCATAAGTTCATTTCTCTTTCTGCCTTCTCTTTTTACGTCCTTCCGCCACCCGGCGCTGCTGAGACTAAACCATGGATTCCTCTGGGCCAAACTCTGCCTCTTTCCAGTGGCTTAAATGGAACCTGTCTCCGTCTGGCCACCTCCCAGTCCTGGTTTCCATGCACTGTTTCTGCCCTGATAATGTGTATTTGGGTGCTTGATTGGAAAGATGTGCTTGCTGCTGAAAAGAAGACCCCCCTCCCAACTCCAACCCACACACAAAACTCCAAACCCTCAACTCTAATTCTATTGCAAATCATCCCTGAAGCTTCACCGGGCTTGGCCTTGACATGCAGTCCTGGGAAAGAACCAGGTGGATGTGGTCTGGGTTTCAAGTGTCCTATCGAGATCCAGCAGGAGGCATGAGTCATATTAATTCCGTCCAACTTCAAGGGCCTCGTTGCAATTCTTTACAGTCCCAGCTCAGAGGCCCTTAGGGAAAAGCATGTTTTTAAATCGAGAACAAAACCTTGGTGCAAGCAGGCTTCGGGGCTTTTGTAGCTGGCTCTCAATAGAGAAATCCAGCATTCAGTGTCAGACTTTCTGCATGGAAAACATCCCCCATGTACATCATTGAATGCAGAGCCCAGACAAGTGGTTCTCTCTGCCCAGAAGCACGTTGTTGGGTGACTGAATGTGAACTTGGTCGCTCAGGGCACTGTGTGTCTGCATGCCCGGACATGGGTCCCTGTCCTCTCCGTCCTCGGGGGACAGCGTCTGCAGGCCTGCGAGTCACTGGGCGAGGTCGTTATTTGGTTGACCAATAGATGGCATGGGTTTCATGCTTTGACGTGTGTCCCTGTATGGCTGGGAGGGAGGGCGGGCGTTGCTCTGGGTGGGGGACAGGGGGTGCCAGATGTCAGGTGGAGTGGTCTGTGTGTCTCTCCTCTATGAGTCTGTGGACCTGTGTCCTTCCAGACTCAGCTACGTCTCAGCAGCAGCTTTGGGTTTTATTTATTCACGCGTGTGTTCTCAGAGCCCGGTGCCATGGCCAAAGGCTTTATGGTCTCTTCAAGTTTTGGAGCCTCTGCTTTCATGGCTGCTGTGTGTGCAAGAGAAGTGCTGTTTGGGGAAATGATCGGTTTGCCTTCTGGCTGGTTGATGGATGCAAGATGAGCATTTCCTCTCTTATTTAGAGCTCTGATACAACCTGGACATCCGCATGCTTCCCAGTGCCGCCAACCCTTTGGAATATTCATAGTCTGTGCCTTCACGTGTGCTTTCCACAGGATCTACTCTGCGCCAAATTCATTGCGAGGTGTGTGCCACCTTCGTGTGGTTTATCTCACTGAATTCAGTGGGTCGGAATCCCTCGGAGAGCTTCGGAAGGTCTGATGCAGTTTGGATGCCAATATATACACTCTCCACATAGGATGAGACACCCTGTAGCCTGGCCTCCTCTGTGGAGAGTTGGACTCAAGTTCGGGTCTGTGGATGTGTGCTTGAATAGCTGTGGGGAGGAAGCAGGGCGACTGTCACAGGTGTTCTTAGCTGCAGGGAGCCCAGGAACCCCTTCCTGCCTGGCACATTCAAGGGAGCCTGAGTCAGAAGGAGCAGGACCGACTGGGGAAGCAGGTAGGACGTTAGCAGCAGCCGAGTGAATGTGGGTCTCATGGTGCAGGTCAGGGTCCCAAAGCTGGGGTGGATTCTGCAGGAACCCACAGCCACAATCTCGAAAAGTAGCCTTTTGTCACCTTCTGCCCTGGAGCCTCAGGCAGGAGACCAAAGCAAAGCACACCCCAGGACATCAGCAAGGAGGAGGAAAGGACACAGTGGCCGGGAAGGGCCATCAACCCTGTCCCAGCAGAAGCCCCTCCCATTTTTGTTTCGCCCCAGAAACTAAAGACCCATTGCTTCAGTCAGTCACTCATCATCTGTCAGCCCCGAGTCCATCCTTCTTTGCTCCTCCAGGAACACTGAAGCTGGACCCTGAGAGCGTTTCTCCTTTGCCGGCTAGAGGAATGCTGCCCTTCCAGCAAGTTCCTCTGCGTTTCCCTGCCAGCCTGGTGTCTCTGACAGGGTCAGGATCCCAGGCTCAGGATAGGGGTGGCCCCCGTCCTGCTCCGTGTTCCCTTGTGTCCATTCTCCCTCTGCCATGATGTCGCCCCGTTCCTGCTTCTGCCCCCTTCTGGGCCCCTTCGGGTTCCCTCCCACCCTTTCCATAGTTTCAGGTCACGGTTCTTTATCTTAAATGTCCCCACTCAAATGACCAGGGCAGTCTGTTTCTTCCCCTTCCTTTACTGCAGGGAAATGAAAGTGGCCAAAATAAATCCTCCTTTGTTCCTAATCCTTTAAGGAAATGAAATCCTCAGAGGAACTGTAGCCCCCAAACTTCTCCTTTATTGCATACGGGGTGTGTTTGGAGACTCTGGTGGGGTGGGGTGGGACACAGAATGGACCTGGTCTTTCTGCTGGGGTCCTGAGCTGGGAGCACTCGTGGCTGGGGGCGCGGGGGCAGCCACCCTGCCTGTCTCGTGGAGGTTGAGGTGGAGTGAGCCCTCACAGACGTGGTGGCACAAGGATGGAAAGCCCCTCTCGTTCTGGTTCTGTCCATCATTCAGCTGAGCCCCCTTCTCCAACTGCACGGTTAGTTCTGTGAGCCAGTAAATTCCTTCCTTCCTCTCTCCTTCTATCCTTCCCTCTTTCCTCCCTGCCCCCCGCCTCCCCTCCCCCTTCCCCTCCTCCCCTCCGGCAGCCCTG